TTCGGTGCTCGGTGAGAAGCGCACCCAATGGGACTCAAGCAGGGCGCACTTGAGCCATGGAAGCGACCACCACGCGGAAATTCCCATATCAACCTGCGCAGACGCTGTGATGTGGCGGCATGGCATAGGTTAACAGCACAGCGTCCGCGCAAGTTAAGAAAATTATCACCAGGTCCTGATAAGGGGGACAAAGGACAAACACAAATCTCCAAACTTAGTTAGGTGACTGGTACGCAACTGAAAAAGTCTGCCTGGTCCTGGTATCGAACCAGGGACTTCTCCAATCTTGTCCAGCTCGCTTGCAGCTTTGCATTAATTGCATTATCATAACCATCAGGTGCCCGTTCTCATTGCTCATGTGTCCCCTACATAATAGTTCACATTAGAAAACTTCTTGCCCTGATGAACACGCTTAATTTTGTTTCAAGTTGTCATGTGCTGTCTGAACAGTCCACGATAAACATTTTTGAGGAATATATAAACTTATGTCATACATGTCACAAAAGTTTTATGTGTGGTGTACCTGCTTATGATCAGGAGGCCTATGTAAAGGAAATCACCAAATATCTGCTTTGAATGTGTAACCATTCTAATGGAAAATTATAATTTTATCAGGCATCATATTCAGACGAATTTCTGATATCTCAACCTTGCTATAATTCAAACAAAATTTGTAGCTTCGTGGAGTTTGAATTATTGAGAGTCTACTGTAGTTATTGTGCATTGTCATCACCAGCATCACTATTTGTAGTTTCCTATTTCATGTCTCTGTAACTACAATCCGTGTCATAACTTGCATTCTGTCATTATCAGATCTGTCATTCTCATAAGTCTTCGTCTGTCCTGTGTCAACAGGCCAAAGTTCATATGTGTTCTGATTCATGCGTGGTCAGTTTTCTTGGTCGCAATTACTTTGTAATCTCATAATAATCAGCATATGGTGTTTAAAAATAAAGTGCCATAATACCCTGAGGATAGCCCACCTAAAATCAAGAGCAAATCGGGTGAAAACAATGAGTGGGACTATCTTTTGGTGTGCAATAAAGAAAAGTTTAAAAAAATGCTATTTTTAGGTCAGACTTCCCTACCAAACTTGTTATTGCGGCGAGGGTGAACGAAGCAAAGATCTATAATGCAAACTTGAGACTGTAGAAAGCAGAAACGACACACGCACGCAAATTGACTTTTCTTTGCATGCGTGTGTCGTTTTTGCTTTCTACAGTCTCGGGTTTGTATTACATCTTTGCATTGCTGACCCTCGCCGCAATAGCACGTTTAATAGGGACGTCTGACCTAGAAATAGCATTTTTTTCAAAGAAGAGAGAATTTGCGTGTGTGTGTCGTTTTTGCTTTCTGCAGTCCGAGGGTTGTGTTATGTCTAGTAATGTTAACCAGCTTGCTTGTGCCGACTTTCAGTTAATCAAAGATGACTGTGCTTCCTGGTCAGCAGTGTTCGCTTATATCTGGCCACAGCTAAGTAGCCGCATTAATGTCGAGGCCATCATTAATCCCAACACTGCAGTGACTATAGTGGGTGACAGGTTAAGGGGAAGCTCCTCCCAACATCTTTCCTCTTCTGCAGAGCCAACATTGGAGGTTGCCTCCTCACTAGCGTTAAAGGGAAAAGGGGTGGGACGAGCCTTAAACCTGTCACCCACCATAGGAGTGAGCCATCTTTTGATGTGTAAAAAAAAGTAGCAAATCGAGCCAAAAAAAAAGATATTTGCTCTAGTTTAAGTTTTTTTTTATTTAAATGCTTATTTAGCATTTCTTCATTCATGCTGTTCTGTCTATTTTCTAACCCCGTTGCCAAAGCGTTTGAATAACCCTGATCTAGAGGGTTCAGTTGGTACTCTACATCGACTTTTCAGTGGTGATAATAAGCATGCGTTACATCAATCCTGCTAACCTTTGCCCACTAGCATTAATGGAAACAAAACATGAATTTGATTAAGTTTATGGCACAGGCTCACAGCACTCAAAGGGGAAATTTAGCTAGTACAGTATAACTGCCATCCTTGGGCTTTCGAGCTGCTCCTAAGCTGCTCCAAAGCTGCTCCAAAATACAAAATTTTCCTGATACCTCCTCCAAAAATCTCTTCAAAATCAAAACTGGCTGGACCACCCCTTAGCATGCATGTTCTTGTGTCTTTATTGTTTCACGAACCTCGCGTTTCGCGCTTTCCGCGATATGCGCGTGAGACATCGGTAGAGCTTTGCACGGATAATAGTTGGGGCATCCGCATCCGATCCCCATCCCCGGACTTTCCATCCGCATCACCACATCCGCAATGTTTTTACATTTTTTGCATCTGCATCCGATCCGCATCCACATACTTTGTATCTGTATCCGAACCGCATCTGCAAACTTTGGAACCGGGTTAGACCCAAAATTTGTGCGTTTATTTTACATCATAGAATCGAGAATAAATAAAAAACGGCATCTGGATGGTACCTTATTACCGTAATATCCCGAGTCATCGCCCATCCCCGAGCCATCGCCCACCCCATTTTTTGGGCCAATATCTTTTTCCGAAAAAACACCGAGTCATCGCCCACCCCTTCAAATACCCCAGCGCGGACTCTGCGATCCGCGAACACTCATCCTACCCGAATGACGCGGCCGCGGCCGCGGACCTTACAGTTGGAGGACTTCCGTGACAAAGTAAAACGAAGGAGGGAAAGACACTTCTTTTTGTTTACGCATTTCCTCCGTGAGCGACCCCAAAGTGGTCGTGTATCCGTGCGAAAAGAAAACGTGGAGATAACAATATAAGAGTTTGTTAATGTAACCGCGGAGTATTAAGTCAAAGTCTGTCTCCGCCGAAGTAAGGACACCGCGAACCCGCTCCTTCCCGCACGTCGCGACCGCGGTTGTGCAATATTTTAGGCAAAGCCAACGCGTAAATAAAGCTTTGCTGGAACGCCCTACACAGACGTTTGCAGAGCGTCCCAACCGTGCATTGATAGCCCGCCGTGCACGGACGCACGTATGTACTATCGGGGAAAAATGAAATGCGAACAGAGGAGCGCGTGGCTCGCGGTACAGGCTGCGCCACCTGGAAGTGAGCCTAGGAGCGAGGGTGCGTGGCCTACTCCGATGTGTTCACGCCCTTTGCTCTGCGCTCCCCAAGCTTCGGCGGTGCGCCTCTCAGTGCGCTGAAAGCTGTCACCGCTATCTTTGCTTGCTCGGCGTGTGCGGCGAGCTTCTTCGCACCGCACGCGCTGAGCCAGCAAAGATAGCGGTGACGCTTGCAGCGTACTGAGAGGCGAACTGCCGAAGCTTGAAGAGCGCTGAGCGAGGGGCGTGAACACATCGGAGTAGGCCACGCAACCTCGCCCCTAGGCTCACTTCCAGGTGGCGCAGCCTGTACCGCGAGCCACGCGCTCCTCTGTTCGCATTTCATTTTTCCCCGATAGTATGCACCAAACAAGAAAGTTGCGCAAGAGCTTGCGATTGACAAGGCGCCCGACTTGGCTTGACGCCAAAGTATTTGCCAACGCGACCGCCGGCTTTCCCGCTTTCCCAGGATTGCTCTTGGTCGCTTCTTTGGTCCGCTCGCTCGCTCGCTCGTTGCGCCTCGTCGGTTTTTCTATTTTCTTGTAGACTTTTCTTTCTTTTTTTTTTACTAACTAGGAGAACATAGAGGTGACATTCTTTCACGGAACAAAAGTTCGCGCTATATGCAGATCGGCGGTGTTTCTAGCGCGTATGCAAGCAACGGACTTCGCTATAGTAAAATATTCTTTCGTGAGCATTCTTTTCTATAAAACAATGAAACTAAATCGAGTTTTGAGTTTGATGTATCTCTTGTGCATCAGTGCTAGATACGCAGAGAAAAATAGGCGGTTTTTTCCGCTTTTTTTCAAGTGATTGTGCTCACCCACCGAGACATGGCCCACCCCACTTTTTTAATGAATTTCAGGCGGTAGGGGGGTGGGCGATGACTCGGGATATTACGGTAAGTTGTTTGCTTATCTTCGTACAAAACAAACAAAACAACTTTTCAAGTCAGAAAAGAGTGAAAGTAATTTTTTTGTATTTTCGTTCATTGTATCTTGTTTTATCGTATTTATATTTTAGGCAGTCGTTCTTCCAGAGACACTTTGCTTTGCTGGAAAAATTATCGCAGTTATAATATTGTGTTGGGAGTCTGTGGCACACTGCCCAGGAGATGCATTCAAAAGGACAATTTTTATATATTTTTTTTCTTCTCGCTCTGTGGCATCCATTTTAAGTAGATGCCTATTTTCTAAACATAAAAATTAACAGAAAACAGATTAAAAAGCGGGAGGGTAAAAGCGGTTCCTCACAGCAGCAAAGTATTCATATAATATAGTTGCATGACGTCAGTACACCACTTGGAAAATATCCAAGAATTCAATAATGTCAACACCTATCAGTTTCAGCTTTAAACATGAACCCAAATCTGCATGCTCCAAACCACATAGTTAACAGCAACTTGCACTGTGTCGAACATAGTGTTTCATTAGACATAATGGAATAAAACAGCGCAATAAATGCATAATACATTTATTTTCTCTAATTACAAAGGTGGTAATGATTTTGCTAATTAGCGTGCTTTCTTGCAATTCCTGGCATCCACCATGGCCGAACTTTCCGAAAACAGTTTCTCTTTTTTGAAGCACCTTATTTCCAGGAATTTCTGAAAGTCTTCGCAGAAACCGCTCTTACATGTTCTTGTAGACCAACATGCGGCTCTAACATCATGCCTCTGCGGTGGTGCTGTTGTCGCCACGGCGCAGGCATTTCTGGGCAAACGCGGGCTTGTTTTTGAGCAGTGTGTCGGTCTACAGCAACGTCTTACATGCTCTTGCATGTGCATTGGATGCATTCATGCCATTGTTTTCGCTAGGGCACACGTTCTTGGGACCTTCTTGAGCCTCTGACCTTCGACCGCACAAGCGCGTGTACTAGGCCTCGGTGCTGTTGTGTGTGGGGCCCTTTCTGAGGGTTGGCTCAATGTGTTTCGTTGCAGGTTTTCCAATGCCTTTGGTGCCTCTGCTCTTCGTGATGTACTGCGGCTGTCACGTGTCCATGGACGCCATGGACTGGGACAAGACTGGTTCAGCCGACTCGTCTAAGCATTTGTAGTCCTTTGAGTCACCACCATCTGTTTACTGTCGTTCATACATGCTGACAGCTTAAGAAGTGCGGGGCGTGGCTCATCGTGTCTGCATTTCTCGCTTTGTGGTCTGTTTCTTCGGGTTTCTTATTGGCTAGCGAAGCAATTAATGGCTGTGGTAATACGACGCTCAGGGCTCGCCCCGTGTTTCTTAATCGGTCGACGACTTCGGCCATCTCTACGCAGCTTACCTCGTTACTTAAGGTTTCAAGAGATTACCAAATGATGGCAAGCCCCATGCATCCTACTTACTTTGTTCTATGGTATGTGCAGCAAAGAACTGTCACAATTGCTCATTTTGTACTTTGTGCACTAATATAGTTTGTTGCAACTTAGAAAGGTAGGGTGAGGGAAAGGAAGACCGGGGAGGAGCAAGCAGGCGGAACGCTAAAGAGAATGGGAGGTTTTCCCCTCTCTTCTTTGCTGTTCCGTCTGCTTCCTCCTCTCCGGCCTTCCGTTCCCTCGCCCTACCTTCTTCAGTTACGATGGACGATACCTTTTAACTATTATATTTAATATGCGATGGCTTCGAGATTATTATGTGCAGTGCCAGGTCTATTGGGAGCGTGCAACACCTAAAGGGGGCCACTGCTCCGCCTCGGCAGCCGGTTGGCAAAGCCACCGACGACTGCGTCCGCATTACGTCGCATAATTAAAGTGACCATGAAATGACCTTTTTACTTTTTCCAGATATCTTTCACATTAAACCGTCAATGTTCACTGAATGCCGAACAGGCATCCGTTTTCGTCTCGGTTTATTAACTTCTACACAAAAAATTAATGAAATATTGACTTTTTCTTTCTCTCCAACTGACCGCAAAACAAGCCGTGACGTACGCTGTTTCCGGAACCGGAAGTTTTCTCGGCAGTAGGAGAATGGGAGCGTTAGCGGCGACGAGTTGGGGTGCGCCGGTAGGTTTTACTGCGCTGATGTCACCGACGTATTTTCTGAATCGGCGCCTCTCTTCGCCGCATCGCAGCTGAGCGAAATTTAATGAGATGTGTTGTGCTACAGCGACAGCATGGGACTAGTTCCATACGCTGGTATGCCTGTTGGGAAGTGCAGCGAGTCTTCCGGTGAAGACTCCAGAAGTCAACCCAACTGTCATTGTTGGTAAAAGGCGAACCGTGTCAGTCGTTTGCAAAGCGACGTAGATGGAAACAAATTGCTGAGGCGTTTTTCGCAGCCTCGGAGATGCAGGAGCGAGCCGACGTTAAAAAAGACACGTTTGAAGTACGGGTGTCAGCAAGAGCCACGTAAATACCTGTTCACACTCGGAGCGGACGCGCGCGTTTGATGGAAGATCGGTCCCGAAGCGCTGTTGGTAAGCGTTTCGGGACCAGTCTTTTACGATTGCAACTCGATACTGACGCGACACTTGGCAAAGAAAGGTTGGACCGGCATTGCACGTATACCTCCCACCAACTGTTATAGCTCGACAGTGACGTGCAGTCTGTCAGAATTAAAATGGCATACCAATAACAAAGTGTACATACCGTGTTACGAAGGTAATTCATGCGGCGTTTATTTCAGCTCTATATCACACAAAACAAGAAGATAGAATCGTCGAGAGTCCCTTTTCGACGAGTGTTCGTCAACACTGCCTCGGAAAACAAGGGGAAGAGATTGACCTCACCTCTTAATCTAAAATTGAGGTCAGCGATCAAACTATAATACGGGAAGGGTCCACAAGGGTAGCGCGGGCATATTCCATTCAGCACGCCAGCCGGTCGTAGGCAGATGGTCTTGCGACGAAGCAACGCTGCACCATATCGGAGTGCCTGCTAGGCCTATATTCTGACTAGGGTCGGATGGCAGACAATGTCTATGCAAAATTCTTCTACTAGGTTCGCACCGTGGTGCCACTGTCTTGTCGCACGCTTCCAACAAGACCAGCAGCCATCAGTTCTGAATGTGCCGGTTGTGAAGACGAATGTTGCTGCAGGCGTCATCCGATATTGGAAAACCTGTTCTGTGATAACTTTTTTAATACATTCAAGTTGTTAAAGCTGCTCAAAGTAATAGACATTGCATTTTTTGGCATTTTCCATTGAAAAGCCTCGAAGAATAAAATTGTAGTCATAAATATATTGTCCAAAGTAAGTATTGTTGTTTAACTGTGTCAAGACTTGGGTACAGTCAAATGCCTTTATAACAATTGTTGCTTTTACGAAAATTCAAGTACATCAAACTAAAACTAAAGTTCTGGCTCTGTTTTCATGATTCTGACATGTCGGCACAATGATTATACTCTCTCTGTAATTGTTGAGCAAAAGCTACGGGAGCAAGCTCCAGGCTTTCAGCGTTCCTGTCAAGCACCAGCGCTCGTGCAGTGCAAGCATTGTTCAGGGCTGCATGCATGTGTGTAATGATGTCATCAATACGGCGACAAAAAAGAGGAAAAAAATCGAAGGAGACTAACGGAGAAAAGAGGGAGGAAAAGAAGTGGGGGGGGGGGGGAAACGAGGAGAATTGGGCCGAGAGCGGACGCATTCGGAAAAGCTTGGCTCCGGAATACACCGGCGAAGCTGTCATCGATAGAAGTCTGCCGACCTGTCCTTACCGCCAAAACTGAACTGCAAGCCTGGCTCAAGAGCGAACCGGCAAAGTTATCCCAACAACCGGTTGGCTGATCCCCATCGGTGCGCTGACAGCTGGAGCCAAACGAGCCCGGCTTCCACCACCGGTCAAGGCGCCTAAACCTAGCGCAAGCCAGTGCCAAGCTCGGCAAGTCGAACTTTGGACGTACGCCCCTTTCTTTTATTGACTTTCTAATAAGTTTCCTTTTTTTTCGTGGATTCCGCAAGTAGAACAACAACTGGGTGCAAATATTTTCCTTTCATATCGAAAATCAGACGGACCTTTCAGTTTCCTTTCTTTTTACCATAAAGAACCTGACAATAACTGGCGTCCGCGACAGGACACTGATGATCATCCGTCTGGTTTTTGGTGCAACATATAAGTTATGGATTTAAAGGAGTTGATGGCCCTAGGTGAAAAGCTGGGGATTACGGGAACAGAATTACAAACATGGGTTGATCAGGAACGAGCTCTGCAAAGAGAGGACAGAGTGGCCGAACGAGAAGCTCTCCAACAGAAAGCGGAACTGGAGGAAAAAACGGAGAGAACGCTCCAGCTTAAGCTTAGGTTGATTGAGGCCGAGGGGTCGGCAAGTGACAGGCATGGTGCGGGCGGTGGTGAAGGACCCCAAAGAGTTACTGCGTCACAGTATATCAGTCCCCATAAGCTAATGCTGTCGTTTGACGACCAAAGAGATGACCTGGATGCGTACCTGAAAAGATTTGAGGTTTTAGCCATGGGAAAGAAGTGGCCAAGAGGAAAGTGGGCCACTGCATTAAGCCTCTGCTTGGTGGGCGAGGCCCTAAAGGTATTCGGAAGGATGTCCCCGGACGACTCCTTAGATTATGAGAAAGTAAAGATGGCACTTTTACAGCGGTTTTGCTTTACAACCGAAGGATATCGCGAAAGATTCCGAGGAAGCTCTCCAAATGACGGCGAAACAGGCAGCCAGTACGCCGCGAGGCTAGAGGGATTATTCGATCGCTGGGTGGAGATGGGCCTTCGTCCCAAAACGTACGGCGATCTGCGGGACCTTGTGATCGCAGAACAGTTCATCAACGGCTGTCATTTAAAGCTGGCTGTGTTCCTCAAGGAGCGGAGTTGCAATACAATTCCCTTGATGGCCGCGGCAGCGGATAAGTTCATGGAAGCGCACAGGCAAGACAATCTGGCTCACTTCAAGGAGGACCATAGCCAGAGGGATAATGATTTAAACAGTGACCTGCCAAGTATCAAGCAAGAAACAAAAATCAGGTGTTTCTTGTGCGGCAGAGTTGGTCACCGAGCGACCGATTGCGTGTCCAGAACAGAACAGCGACACCTAGTATGTCAAGTTTGTCAGAGATCGGGACACGATGCCAAAGCATGCTTTCAGCGGAAGGGCGGAAAAACTCGGCTCTCATGCTTTATGGTACCTGAATCTGGAAGTACAAGATGCGAGTGTGAAGAAAGTCACTTGCATAACGATGAAACACACGGTGTGGAGCATACCAACGAAGCACTCGTGAGTGTGGTGTGCGATAAAAAGGAGCAACAACCAAAGAGACGCATGCCAGTAGAACAAGGACTACTAGACGGACAACCCGCTAAGGTGTTACGAGATACTGGCTGCAACACCGTTATCGTACGCAGAAAGTTGGTTGGTCCTCAGCACCTGACGGGCAAACAACGCAAAGTGGTCCTAGTAGGCGGGACATGCAGGTTGTTGCCAGAAGCAATCGTTAGAATTGAGTCTCCATACTTTACTGGAGAGGTAGTCGCAAAATGTATGGACAAGCCTCTTTATGATGTAATTATTGGCAACGTTCAGGGAGCCAAGGAGGTATTAGACCTCGATCCAAACAGGAGAAGTGGGGATGAGGATGATGCAGCAAAGATCTTGCAACTGGACAGAAACATACTCGCCGCACTGAAGAGCCATGTTCCTGCTACTCCAAATCCCACACCCAGCTTTGGGATTGAAGATGTCACGAAAGGCGTCCTTGAAAGAGAACAGTTGAAAGACACGTCATTAGATATCTGCCGCGGAAGGATTGCCGACACTCACGTGACAAAAGGGGGCAACACCTACAGTTTTCATTTAAGTGAGGGAGTTCTCTTCCGCAGATGCCTCCTCACAAACGGGAAGGAGTTCCGCCAAGTGGTGGTCCCCAGAACGTTGCGCCACCATATCCTCAGTCTGGCTCATGATATCGCAATGGCAGGCCACCAGGGTGTCAAGCGTACGAGTGAGAGAGTCCTAGAATCCTTTTATTGGCCCGGAGTCTTAGCAGATGTTAAGCGGTTTGTGCGTTCGTGTGACCTGTGCCAGAGAACGATTCCTAAAGGAATGGTGTCGAACGCACCTTTGGGGCGCATGCCCATCATTGAGACACCTTTCGAACGAGTTTCTATCGACCTCATTGGACCGCTGTCGCCCACTTCTAAGAATGAGAATCAGTTCATACTCACCCTAGTGGATTTTGCGACTGGATACCCAGAGGCCGTCGCCCAACCGTCCACTGACTCAAAGACAGTAGCGGAAGGGTTAATCGAAATTTTCTCCAGAGTGGGTCTACCAAGTGAGATTATTTCTGACAAGGGTACGAGCTTTACCTCGGAGTTGATGAATGAGGTAACGGAGCTGCTCTCGTTCAAGCACTTATTGTCTGCCCCTTACCATTCCAAGTGCAATGGTCTGGTCGAATACTATCACGGTACGCTCAGGCCAATGCTGAAAAAGATGTGCGAAGAGAAACCTCAGTCTTGGGATGAATACTTAGCTCCGGTGCTCTTCGCCTATCGCGAAGCACCACAGGCGAGTACAGGTTTTTCTTCTTTTGAGTTGATTTATGGACGACACGTACGAGGCCCATTGTCGGTTCTGAAAGAAATCTGGACGGAAGGTACAATCAGCCCGGAGCTGAAGACGACATATTGCTACGTCTTAGAGCTACAGAGTCGGTTAGAGCAAACAATTGAATTAACTCACCAGAAGCTGGGTGAAACACATCAGAGTCAAAAGCGACATGATGACCGAAACGCGAGAGGCCGACAATTGAAAGTAGGGATAGGGCCCTGATCTTGCTACCTACCAGCCATAACAAATTGCTTATGCAATGGAAAGGTTCCTTTCCCGTGGTCGAAAAGAAAAGCGAGGTCGACTAC